TTTGAAATTTGGACAGGTAAAAAGCCGAGAATTAACCATTTGAGAATAATTGGCTCTACATGTTTTGTTCACATACCTGATCAAAAACGTCAAAAAATGGATAAGAAAGCCATAAAAGGTTACCTTGTTGGTTACGATGGTGACGAACGCTATCGTATATGGCTCAAAAATCAATATAAAATGATATTCTCAAGAGATGTAGTTTTCCAAGAAAAACCTATGAAATGTACAACATCATTTGAACATCAGACTCAAAAAGATTTTACAACAGATCCTCAAATCAATTGCAAATCAGTAAATGACTCAAGTAGTAGAAATGATGATTCAAAAGAAGAAATTTCAGATGACACTAATGAAGATGTTCACAACCGTAGTTCAGTTTCATCTGATGAAGAAGATCAATCTGACTGTTGTAATCAAAAGACCAAAGGTATGGTTCTACGTGACAGGAATAATATCAAAAAGCCATCTCGTTATGATCCTTTCGTTATGTCTGCATTAAGTGAAGTACTTGAACCAGAGAGCTACAAAGATGCCATTCAAAGTGATGAAAAAGATGAATGGTTTAAAGCCATGAACAGTGAAATGCAGTCATTAAAGGAAAATCAAACGTGGGATTTGGTAAGTCTTCCAAAAGGTCATAAGGCAATACCATGCAAATGGGTCTACAAGGTAAAACACAATCCAGATGGTTCTGTTGAACGTTTTAAAGCCAGGCTAGTGGTAAAAGGTTTTTCTCAGAAAAAGGGAATTGACTGTGAAGAAACCTATAGTCCTGTGGTCAGAAGTTCAACTATAAGAACACTATTAAGATGTCACTCATGCAGTTTGATGTGTCAACAGCATTTCTATACAGCAAACTAGATGAAGATATTTACATGGAGCAACCTGAAGGTTTTAAAGATAATTCAGGAAGAGTCTGTAAACTCAAGCGAAGTCTCTATGGACTTAAACAAGCTCCAAGATGTTGGAACAAACGCTTTGCTGAATTCTTGAAAAAGAGACATTTCAAACAAAGCGATGCAGATACTTGTTTGTTCATTAGAATACAGGGAGGAAAGAAACTCATACTTGCACTGTATGTTGATGATGGACTAGTTGCAGGAACCGATAAAGAAGAACTAAAAATATTTGAAAAAGAATTAAAGTCTGAGTTCAAGATAACATCTAAACCTGCAAAATATTTCCTTGGATTAGAGATTAATCAAGATGAGAAGGGAAATATTAATGTCAGTCAGTCATCCTATACAAGAATGATTCTTGAAAAGTTTGGGATGAGTCAGTGTAAATCCTGTACAACTCCGATTTCAAAATCTGA